GCTCGATGCAGTGGTCAAGTGCGAGTTCTTCAATGCTGGCGGATCCGTCAAGGATCGCATTGCGGGCAACATGCTGATGCACGCGGAAGCAGAGGGCCTTCTCATTCCCGGAAAGTCGGTCATCGTCGAGCCTACGTCTGGCAACACGGGTGTAGGACTAGCCTTGGCTGCAGCCATCAAAGGTTACCGATGCATCATTGTATTGCCCGAAAAGATGTCTGCTGAGAAAGTCACTACGCTCAAGGCTCTGGGAGCGGAGGTGGTCCGCACTCCCACTGAAGCTGCTCACGACGATCCGCGCTCCAACATCATGGTGGCCAAGAGGCTCTCCAAAGAAATCCCGGACGCGGTGATTCTGGATCAGTACAATAATCCCAACAATCCGCTGGCTCACAGACACACTGCGCAAGAGATCATTGACGCTATCGCCAACGGCATCGCCCCACCCAAGCAACCAGTGGCTGTGCCGACCAAGGTGGCTTCCGACGACAAAGCCAAGGCTGGTCTGCCGACGCCTGACTCCACTCCTCCGCCCTCCCTCAGCGGCCTGGAGATTGGCGTCGGTACAAGTGAGCCTGCGCCCGCATCTGTGCCCACTGTGGTCCGTGCGGAAGAGCACGCGGACCACTCCAAAGTCGTCGACGTGCTCGTCGCCGGTGTGGGGACGGGCGGCACCATCAGCGGTATGGCTACGCGCCTGCGCGAATCGGATCACAACCCAAACCTGCACGTCGTGGGTGTGGACCCGTTCGGATCGACGTTGGCCGAACCTGCCACGCTCAACACGCTCCCAGACGGAGAGACGGGCGCGTACAAGATCGAAGGGATCGGATACGATTTTGTGCCCAACTCGCTGGACAAGTCTCAGATCCAAACGTGGATCAAGACGAAGGACGAAGAGTCGTTTGAATTTGCCAGGAGACTGATCAGGCAGGAGGGTCTGCTTTGCGGAGGTAGTTCGGGAGCTGCCATGGCCGCTGCGATGCGCTTCTTGCAGCAGGGAGGAGAGGGATACGAAAAGTTTGGTAGCGTGCAGGGCAAAAATGTCGTCGTTGTCCTGCCCGACTCGATCCGCAACTACATCACCAAACCTTGGTTGTTGGAACCCTGAACGGGCTCAGCAATGAGGTGGAGCGACGCCAAACGTACCCACCTCGCCTCGCCCTGTCCATTGCAAGTCCGTCCACTCCGTCTCGGCCTCGTAAGTCGCCGCTCAACGCGCCGTCTGCTCCCTCCCCCGTCTCGCTGCTTCCTTTCTCGCTCCGTAGAGGGCCGCCGCATTCCTTGTTCAATCCCGACCTTTTGAATCTCTTCTGTTCCCGTTGATCGTCTCCCACTTGGGCGCCCCTTCTGTTTCACCCCCCCCCCCTTTCAAAGATTCTCGACCATTTCTCCCCTTTCCCCCTTCCCATACACACACATCCCATCGCACATATTGTATCACATATGCAACGTTAGTCACTCTGGTCCGCTCTCAACGCTGCGGCACGCGCTCAATCGTCTTTTGTCATGGCCACTTTTCTCCAATCCAGGTCTCTCTTCCGCGCTGTGTGCGTGCGTGCGCGTGTGTTGCTGGTGTTTGCAGTGGAATGGTGTCGGAAGCCTTTGGCTTGCGGGTTTGACTTACGACCTGCCTACGCATGACTCTGCAGGCACGAGTCTGATCAGAGTCGTGAGTCAAAGTTGAGTGATGAGTGTGAGTCTTTTGGCCCCTGCATGCTGGTTTGGCGAATCACGTGCATTGCCAAGATGGCGGCAAATTGAATCTTGATGAATGCTCTTCGCGCGCGCGGGCGTCGTAGTAGCAGTAGGTAAGCACGACCGACGCGGGGGTTCACGCGCGCGCGCTCACTCATCACTCACCTCTCGACATTCACATTCACATTCATTGATTCACGTGCACATGCACATTCACGATTCACGGTTCACGATTCACGATTCACAATTCGACAAAAGTGCAATCGTTTGCAACTTTCAAGAGCTTCTCAATTCGGAGCCATTCGATCCCACACACACACACACACTTTCTCTCTCTCTCCCTCCCCAGCTGTACGAGTCCTGCTGCGGAGAGGGGAAAGGGAGAAGGAAGGCGGGGGGCGGTACTAGGGGGCAAAAAAGTTGGGCCAACCAGGTGCAAAGCATAGAATAGACGCCCCATTTTCTTGATTGTTCGCAACTTTTTGCCGCAAAAGCCCCCTCGCAACTCCTCGCAAACTCCTCGCAAAACTCGCTTTTGCCCTGACGCACCACGCACCACGCCCCACGCCCCACGCCCCACGCCCACGCTCACGCATCGCGAATCGCGACAGTTGAGGATCTCGAAGTTGAGGAGCCGAGCATGTCTTCCTCTGCAGGTGCTTCCTTCAGCTCAGGCATCGGTGATCAGCAGCAGTGGATGGGCAGGGATGACGACTCGGCACGCAGCAGCAGCAGCTCCGCTGAAGCATCACGTGCAGAGGCAGAGGAGCAGGAAGAGGAAGATGAAGAGCAAGAAGACGTAGACGTGGATCCTTATGCTCCTCTGAGTGGGGAAGAGTACTTTGGCGGAGAGGAAGCAGCAGCATCATCATCATCATCACCACCACCACCACCATCATCATCATCATCATCATCATCAGCATCGCCACCTTCTCATCCTGCTCCGCACATCGATGCGCACTCCATCCCTGTCGAAAGTCGCAGCAACTCTTCAGCGCGACCTCATCCCCGCGCCAACGCCAGCACCTCCGCCGGATCGACTCGGTCGAGGCACGTGCACGAAGAGGCAGAGGAGGAGGAGGAGGAGCCTGCCTTTGGAGGAAGACCTTTTAGGGACGCGCACAGGTTCGCGGGCGTTGCAGTGGGAGACGATGCGTCTCGACGTCGACGACGTGCTGAGCAGGCACAACGATTCAGCGCGGGCGAAGGAGTGCAGGAGCAGGAGCAGGAGCAAGAGCAAGAGCAGGAGCAGGAGCAGCAGGAAGCGGAAGAGGAAGATCTGTACGTCATGCTGAACGTGTCGAGGGATGCGAGCGCAGAGGAGATCAGAGAAGCTTGGAGGAGCATGGCTGTGCTGCTGCACCCCGACAAGCAACCCATCGCGCTCAAATCGCAAGCTGAAGCGCGTTTCCGAGCAGTGCAGAGAGCTTACGAGGTCTTGTCGGACGAGGAGAAGCGAGCAGTGTACGATCACTTGGGTTTGCGAGCATTGAGCCAATCTTGGGCTCTCACCGCCACACGCGATAATCACGCGCCCGATGCCAGGCAGATGCGCATGGAATTGGAGAGGGCTGCCATGCGCAAAGCGGCCGAAGATGCAGAGGCGCTGGTCAAGAGCAGAGGCGACTTCGAGTGCAAGATCGACGCGAGCACGCTGTTCTGTCATGCTGGTCGCGTACCGCGCAAATTGGGCTCGACTGGACCTCTGCGCCTCTCTGAACGTCTCAACAGGGTCGGCTGCACCCAGCTGGTGGGCAGGCACGGATTCGAAGTGCCAGTGGGCCAGAACAGCAGGGCTACGCTCAACGCGCAGATGATCAGCAGAGCGGGCGCGGGCGCGGGCAATCTGATCGGCAGCATCAAGACGCAGTGGAGTCCGCGCTTGTGGAGCGAATTCAACTGCACCGCTCTCAAACCTCACGTGGCCACCGCAAAGGCGCATTGGGACCTCAACCAGCTCTCGTGAGTGTGCAGGTGGTGCTGTTGACTTTTGACGCATCTCGAGTCCTTTTGCTTCGCTGACCTCCCCCCCCCCCACAAATCAGCTTCTTCACCTTTGTAGCCACACAGCAGTCACTCGCAGCACCGCCCGACCTGAACGTGACGTACGGACAAAGGCTCTCCTCCAAGTCCACCTTGACCGGCTTCACCTCTTTCAAATTGGGCCACTACGTCTTGCCCTTGACCAGCTGGGGAGCGGGAGTTCCGCTCATGCAGCAAGAGCCGCCAAGCATCACGATCGGCTTGACCAGCCAATCCGCGCCCGACAAGGGTTGGACAGCTCAAACCACCGTATCGTCCCTCGGACCTGCGCTCTCCTTTTCCCGCGGAACGCGATTAGCGCTGCTTGGAGGAGCGCGCATCAAGTCGGGCATTTCCATCGGTGCGGCGCAGGGTGTGGATGTGTCCCTGTCTGCGGAAAGAAGAGTGACGGAGAGCACAAAGTTGATGTTGGGACTTTCGGCAGGCATTCCAAGGCCCGGTCTGACTTTGCGCATCCGCGTATCGCGATTGGGCCAGAAGCTCAGCGTGCCCGTTTTGATCTCGCCGGAATTCAGATCGGACCTTGCGCTGGGCTTTTTGATCGTTCCTGCTGCTGCCTTGTTCGCTTTGGAACACTTCTACTTGAAGCCGAGCAAGAGGAGCAGGATCACCAATAGGCTCAGAGAGCTTAGGGGCAGGAACAAGCTGCTGATCAAAGAGCGATTGGAGGCGGCAAAGGAGGCCAGATTGGTCTTGAACAATAGCGCCAGGCTCAAGGCGAGGCGGGCGTGGGATAGCAATGGACTGCTCGTGCTGAGCGCCTTGTATGGCCGCAAGGAGCATTTCGGTAGAGCGTTGGGAGAGGCGGAGGAGGTGCTGCTTGGAGCGCAGCAGGTGGCTAGCAGGGACTTTGAAGAGGTGTATAGAGAGGCTTGGCAAGGAACGCATGTGATTGGGGCGCAAGAGATCGAGGAGGAGGAGGAGGTGGATGTGTGGGATGTGAGGATACCTTTGCAGGCTTTGGCGCATAGAGATCAGATCACGATTCATGGCGGAAGAGCAAAGGTGAGCGAACGGTTTGGGCGGGGCGGGGCGGGGCGGTGTGGGCCAGCAAACGACGAAGTGCGCTTGGACTGCTTCCTAGACTGAATCCGCTTCGATTCACCTGGCGTTCGCCCCTCAGTCATCTTTGTTGGGCTTCTTTGATCCTTGTATGGGAGAAAGGAAACACTTGTTGGTCAGATATCTGTTCCGGGGAAGATTGCACCAGGTCATCATCAATGATGTGGAGCAGCTGACTTTGCCCCTTCGAGGTGAGTTTGCCTTCGGCGCGTGTTTGCGCGGCTCGGAAAAATGCGCAGGATAGCTGATGTGGCTGGAGACTCGTGCAACACTTGCCGCACAGCACATCAAGTATAGATCGGTCAGGTACGCTGGGTTCTGGATGTTCGTTTGCAAAGCATCATAATCAGCGGCCATGCCGCGCTGTCAACCTCGTTTCGCAGAGCTAAAGCCTACGCATCAATGCAACATTTGCCTCATCGTCGTTTCAGACTTTATGCAAATCGGAAATGTGCAGAGCTGCGCGGGATCAAACAGCAGGGGGCGGAGTCGAGTCGCCTCCGCCTGCGAGAAAGCTTGTCGATCAAGAAACCGCCGCGACTTGTCTTCTCTTGCGCGAACTTGCGATCACCTGCTGTGTGTTGTGAGAGCGGATTAGTCGACTTGGCAATTGAGCGAGTAAAAACACGCAGCGCAGCGGCACCACGCTCTCGTCTCGAGGGGTGGCGCATCGAGCGTCTTGAAGACGAGGCTGGCTTGGCTTGGCTCCTTGGCGGCGGGCTGATTTGCGGCCCAGCGATGCAACCCTTGCGTCCCCATGCCGCAGTGCCCATGATTCGCGCACTCTTTGATCTTGCCAAAGCTTTGCACCGCCATGTAACCCGCGTCTTCCTGCTGAGGCCGCTGATGACCCCACCTTGGCCCGCTCCCTTCCTCCTCTTCGCGTACCCTTGCAAACCTGCACCCGACGAACGCGGTCGATCCTTTCCTTTTTCGTTCCGCAAAAAAGACCCGAACGCGAGATGCTGGTCTGTCGCTGCTGGTCAGGCGCATGTGTTTGGTGGGTGCAGAGAAGGGTTGTGGAGGCAGGACAGTCTGAAAGGTTCATGTGGGATGTACGCACAACGACTCGATCAGCGAGGCTGCTGCGGATCGTGCAAAGAAGCTTTCAGGAGGGACGCTGTGCGGACTAGAGCACGCACAGAATGAGGGGGAAAGGACAGACTGGCGAGAACACGTACGTACCCCCCGTGGGAGATGTATCGCATGCGCAAGCGCGCCAATTAAGCTGCGGGCAATCAAGAGCCTCTGCTGCGATCAGCTATAGGTGAAGAAGGTCGGGGCTTGTACCTGCACGCACGGGTTTGAGAAATGCATCGTGGGCCGCATCTTTGCGAGCTGTTTGGAATTCCCCCTGGTGCTATGCCCCCACTTTGACTCTGCTCTTGCTCGCGCACACAACCACGCCAGAGGCTACCTCTTTCCTCGGCACGGCATACATGGGAACCCGACGCGACGCGCCTTGTTCCACCCTTTTCGACACATCACCGAGCCGCTCCTCAACGTCACTCGAACTTGTCCAGCGTGGACTTTGCAGCAGCTGAAAGGCATCCTCTGCGTCGAGCATCGCAAGTCGGATCGAGCTTGCCTGGCCCCGCACAGCTGGGTGAAAGCGCTAGCGGCCTGCAAGTACCCTCACCGACGAGCAGAGGCGTCTTGCCGACGAATGTCGCCATTATTGGGCGATCGGCGGGAGTGGGGATTGACTTTGGCCCTTGCGCGCTTGCGCGCTTGCTCAAAGAAATTGAAGCTGTGCTGCCTAGCGCCGAGTCGTGCTCTGCCTGTCTGATGAAGTCACAGGCGAAGAATGGTGCACTGGCAAACAAATTTCCTTGTGCGTCTCTCTTTCTGCTCAGTTTGTCTGCAACAATGCTTCTCGCAGCCAGGGTATCGTGTCTCGCTACGCCTGCTCGCGAATCTATGATCCAATTACACAGAGCTAAAGTGGTTAGAGCGCAATCCGCTTGTTTGTAATGTACATCCTGTCCTACACTCTTCCGGCAATCTCTTTGGCTTTCTTTATGTCTGTCTCGTTGATGGATGCGCTGGCGCACAGCTGAGCAAAAATGCCACCTTGTCGATACAATGCGGCAGGCTCTCCATACTCTGCCACTCTTCCCTTGTCCATGACGCAAATCGCATCTGAGCGACCCACGACTGTGTCGAGACGATGCGCAACTGTGATCACTGTGCAGTCCACCAACGAGGTCTGCAGCATCGCTTGTATATGTGCATCGGTGTCGGTATCCACAGAGGCTGCAAGCATCGCGATAACCGAAGCGTCGTCAGTGATGTGCCAAAGGCTTCCCAAACTCGTGCCAAGCCCAAACTTCACTCACCAGTAGCTTCATCGAGCACCACGATCCTCGCGTTCTTCACAAGCGCTCTGGCGATCGAGACCAAGGCTCTCTGGCCTTGCGAAAGATTGCTACCGTCTTCGAGAATCTCCATGTCGAGGTCTAGACCCTTTGCTTTGGCTGTCTGAATCTCTTTGGCACGATCGACGTGCACTTTCACATCCTCACTCAGCGTCTGCTCCGTCTCGACAACTGCTTGGACGGCTGTCAATTTTGCTTGGCGAAGCGCGTGCCAGAGATGGGCATCATCGTGCTCATCGAAAGGGTCCAAATTGTACCGCAAGCTTCCCCTAAAGAGTACAGCATCCTGACTGATCACCGAGATGCTTCTTCTCAACAGGGATAGGCCAATCGCGCTGATATCTTGATCATCAATGGTGACCTCGCCTTCGGAAGCTTCCATCATCCTGAGCAGAGCAGACAACAACGTCGTCTTACCTGCGCCCGTACGTCCCACAACCCCAATCTTCTGCCCGGGTTGGATATCAAGGTTGACATGGTTCAAGGCTGGTGCCAGTCCCTTTCGATGGCTTGCAGTGAGTCCATCGAATCTAACGTGACCCTTTTGAGGCCACTTTGCAGCTTCGAGCGACTTGTCGATGCTCTTGACGTGATGAGGACGTTCTTGATCCACCTCGTTTGCGTAATACAGCAGCCTTTCGATGCTGTTCATGTTGTTCTCGATTTCTGCTGACTGTCGGATCATCTGGCCAAAGACGCTCTGTACCGTGACCATGTAAGATAGCACCACGCCACCTTTCCCGGGGGAGATGGTGTCTCTGAGACCGACGACCAAGAGAGCGGTGCCGAGGCAGAGCACGGCTCCGAACATGTCCAGCCTCAGGTTCAGCCAGCGTTGACACGCAATGGACAACCAGTAAGCTTTGTTCTCGGTGTCGATACGTCGCCCGTTTTCGCGTACGAAAAGAGCCAAGGCATCGTACGCCCGTAAGGTGACGAGTCCAGACAAGGCTTCGCTGAAGTGCTCGTAGATCTTGGACCTCAAGAGATTGTTGAGGCGTCTTAGCTCTCTCGAGCTGGGTCTGTAGTACATTCCTGTCCAGACGTAAGCCAACAGCACGAACGCAGCGATTGCGAGGAATGGAGGCAAGATGATGGCGACGAGGACGATGGATCCGAGAGCTTGCACTGTCGTGCTGATGAAGAGGCGCAACGTCTCCGCAACAATATTGTCGATCGCATCGATGTCCTTGCTGAATCGGTGGGTGATGCGTCCTTGAGGTGTAGTGTCAAAAAAGGAAATCGGAGCGTGCATCACCCTCTTTGCCGCCTTGGCATGAATGGCGTTGGAAACGTAGTACGCAAACATTGCAAATGATGCGCTCATGCAGAATAAGCCGAGGCTCTGCCCCACACCCAGTGCGGCATAGACGGCCATGTACGTATCGTTTGAAACGCCCCGCAAAGTGCGCCCTTGCCACCAATTGAGCCAAAATGGACTCAGGATAGTCGTTGCTTGATAAGCAACGATGGAGACGATGAACAGCGGTGCGGTGAGGAGGGGGTAACCGAGTAGGACGTAGTTCAAGTATGTGCGCTTAGTGACTGAGCCCACCAGACGCTCTTCCTTTTGCATGATCGCCGTGTCCTTCGACTGCGCCGCCGTCTTCGCCTCTGCACCGCCATCGGCGATTGTGTGGGGCTTTTGCTCGGCATCGCCGGCTTTGAAAGGTGTCTGACTTTCCGCGGCAGCTTCAGCAGCGCTTTCTTGTACAGATTCTTCGCTCTTGCCGTGTTGACTGACGAGACTGGCCAAGCGTCCGTTTTGTACTTGCATGAGCTGTGCGTACGTACCCTGCTCGACGATTGAGCCTCCATCCATGTAGAAGATGATATCGGCCCTAGCCAGTAGTGTCAACGAATGTGTTACTAGGATGGTAGTAACGTCGGTGGCGTCGCCATATTGACGCCCTTTCAACAAGCCTTCCTCAAATGCTTCCTTGCCGACCTGGGCATCAAGAGCCGAGAAACAGTCGTCGAGAAGGCGGACTTTCGTGTCTGAGCTGTACAAAGCGCGAGCAAGGCTGATTCTCTGTTTCTGACCGCCAGAAAGGGATATACCCTTTTCCCCAACGACCGTCTCGTCACCGTGCGAGAGGGTCGCAAGATCGGCATGTAAGCAGCAGCGGCGTAGAATGTCTTGATATCGGACTTCCTCATATGGCCGTCCAAACAAGATGTTGTCACGCACGCTCGCGCTCAACAGCCACGCAGTCTGCGGACAATATGAGATTTTGCCTGCGACCAATGCTCCGGTGCCGGCCTGACCAGCTGGCTGCATGTCTCCAATCAGGGCGCGAAGTAGAGAAGACTTTCCCGAGCCTACCGGCCCCACCACACAAGCAAGCTGACCTCTTTTCACGTGGAATGAATCGATGGTCAGCCGAGTCGCCAGTTGATTCCTTCCAGCAGGCTGGGCCACTTTCTCGCCTGCGGACTCGCTCTCCAGATCGTCGTCGTGATGAGCGAAGACGCTGTCTTCGATGGCAACCATGTCATTTGCCTGCGGCATCCGATCAAGCGGAGTGATCTGCGGTCCGGCTGCGTCATATGGCGAGCGCAGATCCGCATGCAAAAACGCCTCGAGCCGATCTACTGCTGCTTTTGCGTCCGCAAGAGCACTGAGCACGATCGGAAGCATCTGGAGCGGTGTCCGAAGAAGCAAGAAAAAGGTCAAAGCCGAGAAGATCTTGCCCGATTCCAGAGAGTTTCCAACAGCGCTGAAAGTGACAAAGCTCACTACAGCTGCCAGAGTTGGAGCGGTGAAGCTGACAGCAGTGTTGATGGAACGAAGAATCAGTCGCTTGCGCAAGTAGCCCATTTCACCGCCCCTGGTCTTTGAGATTCGTGACAAGACGGCAGGTTCCCAGGCGTATGTCTTGATCAGGCGGATGGAAGCCACAGCTTCGACGATGGCCTTGATACGCGCGTCTGTAAATACCAAGCTTTTGCGGCGCAGTTCGAAGAGCTTGCGCACCATGACGTTCTGAAGCGGATAAAGAAGCGCGATCAAACCAAAGCCCGGCAGTGCGCTGTAGCCCAGTGTCCAAATGCTGAGCGCCAGACAGACTATGATCTGCAGCAAGGAGGTCCAGCCCATGTGAAAGTAGCCGCAGCAAAAGTCTATCCTTGACACATCGGCGCTGACGAGGCTCATCAGCTTGCCGGTGCCCAGAGAGTCTCGAACCCGTGCTTTCTCCGATAGTTGTGTAGCTCGCCGAAAGATGACGTGAATCAGGGCACCACGAAGAGCAATGCCTGTCGAGTAAGACCTGTAGAATCCGTGAACGTTGCCAAAGACCGATACCACAAGCAGCAGAAAAAGGCCAACCGCTAAGCCGAAGCCATCTCGTTGTGCTTGAGGCGATTGGTCGCCCAAAGTATCAATGATGGCTCGAACGAGTAGAGGACTGGTAATCAATGCCATGTCGCCCAAGAATTTGAATGCTCCACCCACCCAGAACCAGGAGAGTGTGACTTCATTGAGAGCGAGCGTCAGACTTGGCCGATGCGGCTGCCTCGCCGCTACAGGCTGGCCCCTGAGCCTGCTTACTATCGTAGAGGGTCGAAGGCAGGCGAGCTTGGATGCGAGCCCTGGTTCGGTCTTTCGAGCGTTCTTCTGCTCGGCGATGGCTACTCGGCGCTCCCACGCCTGTTCCAGTTTGTCGGCATACAGGTGTGCTCGGCGATGCTCAGGCATCGAGTACAGCTCCTCCGCTTGCAATGGCCTCGTGTACCCTATGGATAGGATCCTGCCAAGCCATCCGAAAGTGAGCAGAGAGAGCCAACTGGCATGCACCTCTGGGAATACGGGTGTCGCATAGCATGCAGCATCTGCGATGGAGTCAACATCTTGATTATTGACGCTGCTGACCACGGCCGGCTCGGAGAGGGGATCGAGGATGGGGGCGCAGCGCACCAGCGGTACCTTGCGGTACCACACCCGCGGCGGATACTGGTCTGCACTCGCAGCAGACATTGCTGTCGACGCTTTGGGTTACAGGTGTGGAATGGAGGACAGAGCAAGGTGAGAATGGAGTGGGTGGAGGTAAGTACGGGGTGGCCCCAGTAACAAAACAAGTGGCCGGTGATCTCAACGATGCATCTCTTGAAGGTCGGTGATGCCCATGCTCCTGCCACGTGAAGAGGCGCGAACTCGGGATCACCTTGCACTTTCTGCTTCATTCAGAAATTTCTTCCGAGGAGCGCAGACGAATCTGGGAAAGCCTGTCAGGACACTGATGGACCATGACGTACAGTACTTTGATGGACCCTCTGGACCCACCCCTCCATGTTCGCAAGATTCGCCAGGCGGCATGGTGCCCGAACTTTCCTGCTTGCCTCGATGTCGACAAGCTTTGCCGGCTGTCAATCAAGAATAGTCAGGCATATTCGAACTCGATGTAGGAACCAACATCTGATAAAATTAGCGTTCTCCCAGCTTCGGGCTTTCACAGCGACTCACGTCACGACTCAGACTCAGACTCGGGCTTGCGTTCTTGACTGATGAACTGCTCTGGTGGCATGCAGCACGCGCTTCAAGATTTGAGCTTGGTAGGTATGTACGTTGGAGCGGCAGCAGCAGCTAGAAGAATGTGCAATCACAACAGGGGAAGACGAGGCAGCAGGCGATCAAGACGTTTCATTTGCTGTGGCCTAAAATTTCTTCCTCGATCCAAGACTCGGACAAGTCGCCGCTGCGCGCTGTGCAGTAGCGTCATCGCCCGTCCCACTTGCAGCTGCGAAACAAGAATCACGAATCCAACCTCCGATCTGCGCGGCCTGCTGTGAGAATCCTCGCAACGCTGCTGCTGAGGCGCCGCCCGCGACTGGACTGCTAGCGTGGCTTGGCACCTGCAAGCACAGACGTGGAGGAAAACGAGACAGGAACTCGCATTCGTGATGAAGATTTTTAGCAACCACGTTTGTTGCGACCTTTTGGGATGGACAATGTGAATCGGAGCATCGAGTGGCGAGTGGCGAGTGGAGAAAGATTGGCAGTTTGAGTCCGAGCGAGTTAGGCGGAAATAGGGCAAATTGATCAGATCGACACACAAGATTCACGTGATTGGCAGAAACGTTCTCACAGCAAATCACGTGACCTCATTCTCGATGTGATGTATTGCAGCAATTTTCAATCCGAATCGAATCAAAAATGAAAATCAAGGCCTCTTGAAAATTCAATTTCTTGATCATTGATCCACGATTCGTGATTCAAATTCTAATTCAAAATTGTCAACTAGAGCGGCGTGCGCGAGCATGCACGCAGTTAAGCGCTTTGCCCCAATTTGCTCCGCGCGAGACACACGCGCGGGCGCGCGCGCGCTTCTTTGGTGAGGATCGAGCTGGTGTCTTGTCCGCTGCATGCTGGTGGCATGCAGGTCGAGCCTAGCAGCATCGGATCGGTGTGCGGCCTACTGTTGCGCGGCGCCCAACACTTACACGGCTCTTCCGCTACCATCACAGCGATTATCATTCACGACCCCGCCATTTTCGGAAACATCCGTCTCTGGCCAGAATTGGCTCCTACAAAGTCCACAGAGAAAGAGCTCTGCGGCAGTCATCAGAGGATGAAGGCAGGCAAGACGGCGGTCGTTGTTGATCTGCACGGTTGGACGCCATGGCCCACGTTGATCGTACGCCGACAAGCTGGGCGACGATCTGGTTTCGCCCGGGTCATCTGATTATGCATGTACCTAACCCTTTCTCGCAGGCGACGGGAACGAGCGATGCTTGCTCCACACTTCGCACGCCAAGCAAGTCGGGGGAGCACATGACATCGCTCATGAGCGCAGATTTTTCCTCTTGCTTCCGTCTCTGAGCACTCACACGCACCTCGTCGAAGTTGATCATCTTTCATCTCCTGCAAGTCATCGACCCAGGAACGAACGCATTGCATAGCCCCGTCGGTGGGTTGGAAGACGCGCAGCGGTACCAGTAAAGCGCGCTGATGCAGCTGCTTGCCTTTAGCATTGACTTGCCGTCGAGCTCTTGGCGATGGGTTAGGTTGTTCAAGCCCATGGAGGAGCTGCGGCAGTGATGTCGACGCCTCGATGGCGTGCCAGAGTTCTCCGGCATTTGGCACACTGACATCGGCACTGGATGCCGGTGGCGATGCTGCCAGAACGGATAATCGATGTCAGAGCTCTCAACTCCTGATCAATTTGGACTAACTCATGATGACATTCACGATCGAAGCGATCGCCAAAAGCCCGATGCCTGGGCAACACCTCAGCTTCAAGGCTGGCATGCTGCGAGGCTTCATCCAGATTCTCAAGCTGCAACACGTCAACGTCGCTCCTTCTCATCCTCACGACCTCCTCCTGACGACATCAAGGACAAACTGATCGTTGGCGTCTTCTCCCTAGCAACAATGTCGGCATCCGTACGCACAAGATTTCCTCGACTCGACCTTTGGCGGTTTCGAGATGATGATGAGGTCTCGAAGCCCGTCGGCTATACGTTTGCCGCACAGATGGACTCCAACGGACCTCAGAGCGCGCTTCAGGCCAAGCATAAATTTGCAGCTTGGCTGATGAGCTTGTGCGGCCTCGAAGAGGTCTGCTTCTCGTTTAGCTGCGTCTCAAATTCCCAAAAGCACTGCTCGCTCATACTCGCGACTTCTGAGGAAGCGAATCCCACAGAAACCTGTGTGGCACTCAGCGAAACCGAGTCAGACGCAAGCTCGACGTCTAAAGAGCGGCGCACGGATTTCGCTCTGATATACCATGTTGACGACCCGCGCCCGCTGGATGCTTCGCACACATGCTGCGGGGTTGCGGTCCACTATAATGGGGAGATTAGTATGCAGCTCAATGTTGCGCACGTCGACGCTCAAGCTGCACAAAATATCTTCCACGCATTGACTCGCCACATGTCGGGATCTCAAATCGTGCGAGCACCTGAGCTGTCCATTCTCAATCATCCGATGAAGTCCGGCGACTTGCCATCTCCACTTCCCATCGATGAGGGCAGCGATTTCGCAGGGGAAGTCGAGTTGCTTCACTCGGCGTTTGAGAGACGAGTTACAGAATCACCAGATCACGTCGCACTGTCTTATCTTTACGAAGCAGGTCCAAGCCCTGTCTTTCGAGACCTAACGTATGGCGAGCTCGACGCTCTCTCGAACAGGATAGCAATCGCTATCCGCGAACACGTTAAGCGCCACCCTCTCACGGGCACCCAGACCGAGCAAGAGCCTTTCGTCGTGCCTCTCTTTTTAGGGCCGTCCATCCAGATGTACGCGGCTTACTTCGGATGTCTAAAAGCTGGCGTCACGCTCTGTCCACTTCCACTCGACGCACCGGACGAGCGTCTGAGAGACATTCTTGATGATTTTAGCCCCGTGATTGGACTATACAGCTCGGTCATGGGCTGGATGCCACATAGAATCAACGAACCGCATGCGCGCACTCAATGGCTGGATCTGGACAATCTGCCCGATCATGCGACGAAAGCAACCGAATGGCCGTTGACATCACCGCATGACATCGCCTACATTTTGTACACATCTGGGTCGACGGGAAAGCCAAAGGGAGTCCAGATCAGTCATCGCTCAGCCGCGTGCTCGATCTCAGCACACGCACAATCTGCACCGCTTCTGCCAAGAGAGGTGACTAGATGGTTTCAGTTCGCAGCCCCAACATTCGACCCGAGCATCATGGAAATCTTTCTATGCCTTGGGTCAGGCGCTACATTGTGCTCGGCAAAGCGCCAGTTGACATTGTCAGACCTCAATGCCACTGTGGCGGCGTCTAGAGCGACGATCATGATGGCTACGCCAAGCTTGGCTGGTCTTCTCGATCCGCAGAGAATTCCAACTCTAAAGTCTCTCTGGACCATGGGCGAAGCGCTTGGACCCTCAGTGATCGATAAATTTGCGTCGGATAGCAAGACTTCCAACGGCGGAGGTCCGCATGGTCTTTATAATGCGTACGGTGAGTCGCCTTTGGCGCGCCAAACCCGACGCATTGATCACACCTCTGACGAAGTAGTGAACCTGCATCAGGCCCGACCGAGGCTGCCATCAATTGCACACTTCTCAAGATGATGCCCGACTACCGAGGTACGATCCTGGGCGACGCCCTCGAGTCGTGTTCTCTTTTCATTGCAAGAGAGATCTCAGGTCGTGCGCTCGAAGCTGTCGAAGCTGGCATGACGGGAGAGCTGATCATCGGCGGGCCGCAAGTCAGCTCGCGCGGGTATCTCAAGCGGCCCAGTGAGACTGACAAAGCGTTCACGAAGCACGGCGCGTGGGGAAGGGTCTACCGGACTGGAGATCGCGCTAGGATTGTTTGGCGAGAGGATCATCACCCTTATGTAGAGATACTCGGTAGGCTCGGAGGCGCATCTCAACGCCAGGTCAAGATCAATGGCCAACGCGTCGAGCTGAGTGATGTAGAAGCCAGCATTCTCAAAGCCATCAAGCGAGATGACGCTAGCCGCGATGTTCACGCCCTTCACGCATTGCTCGCGCACGGAAAGCAGCTGGTCGCAGTCGTCATATGTCCAGCTCTTTCAGGTGTCGATTCGCCGAGGGAGAAAGTCGTGCAAGGCGCTCTCAGAGCAGCAGCCAACAGCGCTCTTCCCCCGTTCGCCCGGCCCAGCAGGTTCATCATCCGCAAGGACGAGTTACTCTCTGCAAGCGGCAAGCTCGACTCGCGTGGTCTCATAGCGTTTGCCGAAGGCGTGCTAGAAGATCTGCCAAGCGCTCTCCCAAATAGCACTGAACCATCTGAAGAGGGAGGAGACGACGCCACGACATTTCTGCTCAGCGCGCTCAGCCGTGTGCTGGATGCACGTGGCGGTGCACAAACGAGACTATCTTCGAACAGCTCTATCAACGCAGCCGGTCTCGATAGCCTCTCGGCCATGAAGCTGCTCGACCTGACCCGCGACCACGAAGTGCTACGGCACCTGTCTTTGGCGGTGCTTTTGAATCGCACTGAATGTACAGTCACACAGGTCGTCGATGCCTGCAAGCAGGATCCCGCCCGCAAGGAGGAGGGCATCGAAAAGATGCTAAGCAGCTTTGACGCGCGTCATCGCGAGCACTGCGTCCACGCACTTGGCGGAGTGGCTGTCACCTCTGTTCTGCCCGTCACACCAACCCAGGCTGGCATTTTGGCAAGCTTTTTGAGACGAAGATCGTATATTCATCATTTTCCGTACCAACTTGCCTCCGACATCGATGTCGACAGACTCTCGAACAGTCTTGAGCTGGTTGCTGGCCAGCACGAGGCGCTCCGCAGCACGTTCATACCAGTAGACGACGAGCTGGCCCCCTTTGCTCAGTGTGTACTGGCACAAGAAGTGTTGCGACCCGACACGCACGCGCTGCTGCCCTCCGACCTCTCTCCCACGCTGCTTTACGAAAAGGTCAACAAAGAGATGCAGCTGGAAAAGCCTCCGGTCAAATTCCATTGGCTGAAGGATGCTCACACTTTGGTGGTTTCGCTTCATCATGCCATCTTCGATGGGGGCTCGCTTGGCTTATTTCTTGAGGATGTCGAGCGTGCTTACAAGGGTTTGAGCGTTGTCAAGCGACCCGGACCAGCAGCAGCGTCTGCAGAGCACCTCGGCGCACATCTGGACGCGGCATCGACCCTACAGATCGAAGACTTTTGGAAGAAGGAGCTGAAGGGATTTGAATCGCAACCGTTCACAGATGTGGCGGGCCGCAAACCCACTGCATCTTCGCGCCTCGGGCTGTGCGACGCTACAGAGATATTCACAAAGGCCGACGCGAGTGGTCTTCAAGACATTTCATTGGAGGACCTTTTCCAGGCAGCCAGAGCCTATGGAAGCACTCCACTGGCTATCGTACAGCTCGCCTGGTGCCTCATTCTAAACTCATACTCCGAGAGCGCTTCGCGAGATGTTGCGTTCGGTAGTGTAGTGTCCGGACGCATCGAAAGCTGGGCGAGAAAGTGCGCCGCTCCCACATTCGCAACTCTGCCGGCCCGTCTAGATCTTGATGCTACAGACTCTAGGGGCACCATTGCAGGGGCCGTCCAGAACCTTGCAGCTCAAGCGCAAAGAGCGCTGAGTCACAGTCAGATCAAGCTCGGGTCTATCGTCACTCAGGATGGGGCACTTCCATACGACACCCTGCTCGCTCTGCAGCTTTTTGAAGCAGAGCAAGGGCCCTTTCTCGGTGGAGAAGAGCTCCCGCCGCCGCCCATGGATAATGATTTCGCTGTCATGATTGAAGTATGGCCAGGCACTGCGGTGCGCTCGTTGCGCCTCCGTGCAACGTACAAGACTTCTCTTCTTTGCTCTGAAAGCTCCAAATTGATACTCAGGCAATTGCACGGTCTGCTGCAAGTAATCTGTGGCCGCAGCAAGATGCTAGACGCGCGCGAAAGCCCTCTTTCGACTCTCACCTCAGATTTGACGAACGCTGTGCCATCATTAGCTGCCCGATGCATCGGCAGACACGTCGAAGAGCTACAAGGTGACAATGCATTTCTTCATGCCGGGTTCGAACAACAAGCAGAAGCACATCCGGATCGACCAGCGTTGATCTTCAACCGACAAGCAGGTCCAGGTTCACAAGAAGTTGTGACGTATAGGGAACTCGACGCTCTGGCCAACTTCTGGGCACGTCGTCTGATTTCTGCCAACTCTGGAAAAACACTGGTCGATCAAGCCGTGCCCCTCTATGCAGTCAAGTCCATCGACTTGTACGTTGGCCTTTTGGCGATTCTCAAGGCTGGAGGAGCGTGGTGCCCTATCGACCCTACCTTGCCTGTCGCTCGCAAAGTCAACCTTGTGCTGCGTTGCGCAAGTCCAATCGTAGTGGTTGCAGGCGAAGTGGCGGAAGACCGGCGCTTCGAGCAGTTGATGAAGAACCGAGAAGTCGCTAATCTCGTCAAGCACGTGGTGACATGTGATGGCCACGTGGGACGAAGCGAGGCTATAGGTCAGTCGTTGAGCTCGGCTGGAAGCCCCGTCCCTCGTGCGCATGGCGCGCGCTCGCCACGGCAGCTCGCATACCTCATCTGGACTAGCGGTTCGACAGGTGAACCCAAAGGGGTCTTGATCGAACACTTGGCCGCGTCCATGGCGATGCGATCTTTACAAGCCTCTATTCCACATGGCGCGGATCCGCCCCGCACTCTCCAGTTCTCCGCCTTCACCTTCGACGTCTTTGTACAGGATCTCTTCTACACCTGGGGGCTAGGTGGCTGCGTCGTTGCTGCGCCGCAAGGTGTCATGATCGATAGTCTGGCTCGGCTTGCGTCAGACTGTCAAGCCACTCATGCCCATCTGACACCAGCCTACGCAGCTTGTGTTTCACGCGAAGAATGTCCCACTCTGCGTTACGTTACGATGATAGGAGAGAAGCTCAGCGAAGAAGTAGCGCTGGACTGGAGTGCAGGCGGCAAAATCTATGCCTTCAACACGTACGGCCCAGCGGAAAATACAGTGGTATCTACCTGGCGGCGCTTCACGCCCGATGACGCCATGAAGGCCCAGAATGTAGGATTTCCCTTGCCTAACACCTCATGTCTGGTACTGCGGGACGACGGCCTGCCAGCGCTCCTTGGAGGGACTGGTGAACTTGCCTTGGGAGGTGTACAGGTTGCTCGAGGGTACTTGAAAGACGAGGCAAGAACGCGAGCCAAGTATCCGACGACTAAACAAGATGGTCGCATCTATCACACAGGTGACATGGTCAGAATGCTACACGACGGTAGTATCGACTTCATCGGCAGGCAAGATGATTTGGTCAAATTGGGAGGCATTCGTGTTGAGCTCAGCGAGATCAGTCATGCTTTGCGTGAATGTCACCCTGTGGTAAAGCAGATCGAGACCATGCTTCTTGCATCAGGAGAGGAAAATCAGGCGGCCAAGGTCATTGTTAGCTTTTTCGCCTGCCCCAGTCTCGGAGATGGCAAGACAACAACATCAGTCCAGGATGCCGTGCTGTCCGCGGCCAAATCGCAAGTCGCCAAGCACCTGCCTGACTATATGCATCCAGCCCACTACATTTTGGTTCCAGAAATTCCGCGCTCTGCTTCCGCCAAGACCGATCGAAAAGGTCTTGCAGCAGTATTTTCGAAACACTTGGCTCGGGCGGTGATCCAATCAGGAAAACATCAGACTTCGCAATCAGAGCAGATCGATCTCAAGGAGCCGGCCTCGACCGTGGCTCAGTGTCTCGCCGAGGTGGTTGGATCAAGCTCTCTTCCCAAGGACATCTCCAGGCTCGCCAACGCGACCTCTCTGCGCGCGTCTGGCTTGGATTCGATTCGAACGATTCGATTAGCAGTCAAGCTACGCTCAGCCGGTCTGAAGTCCCCGCCCGCTGTCGAATTGATGCGCTTGAGGACGTTCACGCAACTCGTTGTTTTGGTGGCCAAAGTCAACGGGCTCACGGACCAGAAGCTTGCAATAGCAAAAGGAGACGCCACCGGCTTCGACGCTGCAACAGAACACAAACGCGCGCTCGATCGCTTCAGCGACAAGTGGAAGCGAAGCGCAGAAGCCACACTGGTTGAACAGCCTGGTGATGTAACGTTGTCAGGCCAGAAACCCTGTGAGTCTTCTTCGGCTTCTGCTAGAAAGCTGTGTTACGGTCCGAGGCTGAGACTCATCTTCTTGCAGTGCTCCAAAACCTCCTGCCATGCACGCATTTGCAGCAATCTCTTCTCCTGCAGACTCAGAAAGAGGTGCAAGCGTACTGGGGCAGCACGGCGATCAAGCTGGGTAGGACAGAAGCAGCTTCAGTGAAACGAGCCTGTTTGGCAATAGCGAGTCGAATAGACGTGCTTCGAACCACATTCCTGCCAACCGCATTGCTCGGCAGCAGCGACGCGAACCTATCAGGTGGTTTCGTGCAGGCTGTTCTCTCGCCTAGCGCCTTTAATTTGGACTGGACCTGCTGCATGACAAACTCTGATGCTGAGCTGGCACGGCTTGTCACTGAACGTTTGGAATCTGTTTCGCGGGCGCGACATCCATTCTTCGCAGGAAAGCCGGGATGGGCGGTGACGTTCATCAGTGGTGCCGACTCGACCACGTATCTGCTCTTCACCATGCATCACGCTCTGTACGACAAACAAAGTATGGAGCTGATACTGTCCAGCCTTGCCTCGGAGCTTCAAGCTTCGAAAGCTCCTGTAAGCGTTCCATCGCTCCACGAGACTCTCGCACATCTTCCACGCTCCTCGATTTGGGCGCTTAGCGACAGCGAGCTTGGCCATTGGCGCCAGCTTTGCGACCGGTACGCATCTCATTGCTTGCCGTGGTCGTTGCCTGATCTCACAGGCTCGGCACGGAGAGCTCACGGACGCGCTCCGAGAATGTACCACGTCGCATCTCCGCTGCAGCAGACGGCTGCCATGGATCTGGTCGCGGCAAGAGCAGACCTCCCGTCCGTGGCGACGATCATTCAGGCGGCGTATGGCGCGATCCTAGCACACTACCTCGACCAAGCTGCCGTTCTCATAGGTACCACTGTAAGCGAGCGCGTCCACGCGGCGCAGCTGGACAGCGCGATCGCACCCCTAATCGCTACCGTGCCCTTTTTCGTCGAGAGCAGCGGGAAAATCGACGAGGCCTTGGCATCTCTATCGTCACAGTGGCGCAATTCGCTAACAAATCGGCATATCTCTGCCACTTCCGTGCGCAAATTGCTCTCCTGGCCTGCGGATCAACCACTGTATGCGGGGGTGTTTGTTTTGCAAGTGGAGTCGGACGAAAAATCGCAGGCAGCAAAGGTGCAAGAGCATGATTTGTCGAACGCAGGGGCCTTGCAAGTGGAGCACGCGCTTGCACTCAACGTCTATACATCAGAGAGCGGCAAAATCAAGAGGATGATTCTGTCTGCTTCAGCAGATACTTTGTCCGCCGCGCATCTTGACGTCATGCTTCAGCAAGTTCTTGGCCTGATGAACGCAATGTGTTCTGCATCGGCTGGAGCAGACATGCGGGCGTTGATCAGTGCGTTGCCTACTTCGAGCTTGTCCATCCAGCATTTGTCTCCAGCCGCGCGGTCCAGCCAATCAACGCTCGCAAAGGCTCCACGCACGCATCCCTGCTTCTGGATTTCTCACTATGCAAGGACACAGCCCGAGTGGATAGCTGCCGAGCAGGTGGTTGGTCCGCTAGATCAAGTAACGGTGACAGATGCTTCACAAAAAGACTCTTCAGTCCTCAGATGGACTTACAAGATGTTGGATCAGGTTTCAGACTCGTACGCGTCTGCTTTGCTGGAGCGACTCGGCACGGCTTCAGGCAGAGTGATCGGTCTATGTATGGGCAGGACGCTTGAGGCCTTCGCAGCTGTCTTGGCGATTTTCAAATTGGACGCCATCTATCTTCCCATTGCGGAGGACCTACCCGGAGAGCGCAAGCTCACCTTGCTGCAGGACTCGCAAGCGGCGTGTATCTTTACGTCTGACGGCCTTCTCGACGGCGTAGTTGATGGCGCACGCAGTGACGCCTGGGTCGTAGACGTCGACGGTGTGGAGTGGCGAGCTGTCTCTGCTGGACCTGCGAGGGCTGTCGACCTTTCCGACGAGGGCGGCAAAGGCGGATACCTCCTTTACACGTCCGGATCAACGGGCAAACCGAAAGGTGTGCTTGTCAGTTCTGCTAATCTCTCTGCCTATGTGGAGGGTTTCTATGCCGTCCTCAAGTTCTACTCGAAGCGATCGTGCGACTTGGCTGGCAGAGGAAAGTATCTCAACTTGGCCAGTCGTGCTTTTGATCCCCACTTGTCTCAGATGTTCATGGCTTGGCGACTAGGATACGCTGCTACCACTGGGCCTCGAGCCGATCTCCTCGAGGATCTGTCCCAGACGGTGACTAGGCTGCAAATCACGCACATAGGTATGCTTCCCTCGCTCCTCGAGCAAGCTGGACTGACTCCAGAGAGTGCGCCCAGCCTTGCAGTCGTAAGCGTCGGGGGAGAAAAGATCACTCCATATGTCCTCGACAAGTGGGGCCGCGAGAGCGGGACCGGTGAAGTCGACGGGCAGCAAGCCCTCGTACTGAATCTTTACGGCCCCACTGAGGTCACAATCGGCTGCACCATGGCGTGTGTTTCACGCGATTCGAGCCCACGCAATATCGGCTATCCTGTCGGCAACGCCTCAGTAGTAGTCCTAGTACCAGGCACCAGTCACGTTGCCGCGCGAGGCGAGCAAGGAGAACTCGTACTTTTGGGAGATCTCGTAGCTCTGGGCTACCATCACAGACCAGATCAAGGAGGTTTCGTCATTCTCACTCTGCCCGACTCTTCGAAGCATCGAGCTTACCGTACTGGCGACATGGTACGGATGCTTGCGGATGGCACGATCGACTTTCTAGGCCGCACTGATGAGCAGATCAAGATTCGTGGGCAGAGACTTGAGCTCGGCGAAGTAAGCGAGACTGTCAGAAGATGCGCCTCAGCTCTCGGCTATTTCGTTCAAGCGGCTGCAGCATACATCAAACACCCATCTCTTCCTGCACCGAGGCTCTGGGTGCATCTTTGCGTCGACAGAGAAGCGCAGTGTAGTCAGAAAGAGCCCATCGAGATGGTAGACCATGAAAGCGACTCACAGCTCGTCACCTGGGCTCATGTTGAGCTGGTAAAGGCTCTACGCAGCGAGTTGCCATCCTTCATGATCCCCACTCCGATCGTGTATCGCCGAATGCCTCGCCTGCCGTCGGGAAAGGTGGACATCAAGCGAGCCAATGCTCATCTCTGCCAGTCTCCAATTGGACGCCTCTTGGAGCCGCTCGGTCCTCCAGACACAAAAGCCCAGCAACAACAATCCGGCGCAGACGACCTGACGTACGAAGAATCGCGCATTGTCGACATGATCGCATCGGTTATGGGCTCTTCACCGCAGACAGGTACAGCGAAAGTAACCGGCAGTAGCAGCGTTTTCGAGCTTGGGATCGACAGCTTGAGCGCGCTAGGTCTCTCTCTGAAACTTCGACAAGAGCTGCACTTGGATGCAAGCGTCGCAGCCGTGTTTCTGGCCGAGACCGTCTCTGGGTTAGCCGCTCTGCCACCTCTTGCATTGACCGAATCTCGGACCGTCGAACATCAGCAACTACAACGCGAACATGCTTTCAATGCCGCGGCTGAGAGGTACGTTCTAGATCGGATTGGCGGCAAGAATGGAGAGGCGCCTCTCGCTAGCAGCATCACGAGCGTGCGACGGGCAATGCCTTTACAAGAAGCGCTTGTTGCTTTGACGATGATGGCAAGAGATGCGGGCGATCTCAATCTCCCTTACATCAGCCACCACGCCTACTCTCTGCGCGGGGGAGATGAGAGCGCTGGTATAGAGCATGTTGTCGAGGCATGGCGCCAAGTCATCACAGACAGCGATCTCCTGCGCACCTGCTTCATGGATGGCCCCGAGGCAAACGTCGTGCAGGTAATCCTGGAACCCACCCCCGAGCTCTTGTCCCGACTGGTAGTCTCGAGAAATGCTGACGACGGTGTGCCATGGAGCTGCTCCGAAGCGGCGGCGTCTATTTGTTCGAATATGGCATCTGCGCCCCCCATTCGAGTTGGCATTGATTGCTCAACCCGCCGCATCCACTTAGCGATACACCACTCTCTCTATGATGGCCATACGCTTCCCATTGTCCACCGTAGGGTAGAAACCATTGCGGTCAAATTGAGTCGCGGCCAACAGGTTGACAGCAAACCGAGTCTGATTAGTTCAGCGTTCGAGGCTCGCGCGCTGGCTATCGTTGCCAAAGCAAACGAACCTTCTGCTGTCGCTTTCTGGCGCAACCACCTGTCGGGCGTCCGCTACGCTTCCAGAAGCGCTCTTTATTCATCATTCAGGCCGGTACCCAACGATCAGGCGTCAGCTCAGATCAAGTCAGAGTGTCGCCGCGTCGAATTGGACCTATCGTCGCTACTGGCTGCGCTTCAAGACAGAGCTGTGCACGAGCACAAGACGACCCTGGCCGTACTACTGCAGGCAGCGCTGGCCATGACCCTAGCGTACCATCAAAGTGACCGCGATGTCGTGTTTGGCACTGTGCTCTCTGGTCGGGGTCCTATCGCAGACGACGACGGTGGCAGTCTTCTGCCCTGCGTAACCACAATTCCGTCACGATTTGATCTGAGGGAGGCACGCAGTGTCAAGCAAGTCGTCGAGATCGCCAAGCGATCTGTGCTGCGGACGTGGCCATACCAGCACACTGCTCTTCGTAGGATACAGACAGCTATTGCTGCGCCACGTAGGCTGTTTGAGACGCTGTTCGCGTTCGAACAGCATACAGTCCGCTCTCCGCTACAGGATGCTGAGGTGAGTAGCATGCGCACGCGAGCATCGTAGCGGTTCCCAGCTTACGCTACTCGCCTCGCCGCGAAAACCGTTTCCCAGCTTCACTTACATGCTGACGAGTCAGCAAGCGTCATCGACTATCCAGTCGCATTAAACGTCGTCCATTCTGGAGACTCGCAGTTGACGGCGGTCTTGGCCTTCAAGCCACAAGAACTCCGAGACGGCATGCATCATGCATTGTATCTTGCTGAAAGTTTCCGCCACGTTCTCAGCGTCGTAGCGGACGCTGGCGAGCAGCCGACCCTGGAGGAATTGGGTCTTTGCTCGTCACCAGCAGTGCCAGACGAGACCATACCGGAAGACGCGGTGGATGCGCACTCCGACGCTGGCTGGAATGCATCAGAACTCAAGGCTCGAGACGTCTTGGCTGCTTTGTTGGATATAGAGCCATCCGGAATCCGCCGTACAGATCCCTTCTATCGGCTCGGGCTAGACTCTATTCTTGCGATTAGGTTTGCACGAGAGCTTCGCGCGGTGGAGATCAGGAAAAGTCCGGTACAGATAGTTCAGGCCGGCAGTCTTGGGACACTGTTCTCGGAAAGGTCCCCGGAAATGACAAGCACGAAGAGCTTCGTTCAGGCACGCTCGGCCGCAGTCTCTTCGTTACCACAGTTGCGCAACAAGGCGCCGTCTTGCTCCACGGCTATCGACTTCAAGCTCAAAGAACTTTTCGTGCCGCTTCACGAAACGGACAAGGCTGAAGCCATCTACCCTTGTACACCCTTGCAATCTGGAATGTTGACTCTCAGCAGCGGTGCAGCGCAGTCTGGATATCGTCAAGTCCATGCACTCCGTTTGCGGTCGGACATCAACTTGGATAAGCTTCGAGATGCCTGGGCATCAGTTGTTGAGACCAACGACATTCTGCGTACTACGTTCCATCTCGATGACTCTGAAGACTCGCAATGGCTGGCCATCGTTCACAAGCATGCACCAATCGTGTGGAGCCATGGACCCGGTTCAACAGCTCCAACTGCATTGGATAGTATGCCACCCGTTGGCGTGACCGTTGATGCAGGGGTTGCACGTTTCGCCTTGCATCATGCAGTATACGACGGCGTGTCGCTGCCCCTAATGTTCGCTCAATTGAGAGAAGCGTACGCCAACGGCAATCGCTTGCCGGCGCGCAAGCCATTTCACGCCGTAGCGCGCGCCTTGACAGCAAATCGTGCCGAGCACGAAGAGTACTGGTGCAACAAGCTAAGCGGATTCAGAGGCATCAGCCCTAGGCCTCCGTTCCCAGAGAAAGTAAGGACACGAGCGAGCTGTTTCCTCGACATACCCGGGCAAAGCGTAAGGACAGCTTGCAAAGAACTAGGCGTCACCTTGCAAGCCATTTGCATGTTGGCCAACGCCATGATGCTCGCGAGCTCGTACGTAGGCCACCGTGATGTCTCTTTTGCACACGTCATGGCGTGCCGTCAGCTTTCCCTCGAAGAGGAGGCGGTGGCAGATGAAGAGGAGGTGATTGGGCCGCTTTTCAACACTGTCGTCAGACGAATTCAAATTCTGCCATTGTTGGCATCTTGCTCTGAGGTTGTGGCAAGCGTGCAGCGAGAGCTTGACGAATCGATGCCGCATCAAGGAGCTAGCCTTGCAAACGTCCAGAAGAGCTGGCGTAAGAGTAACAGACCAGAGCTTCGTCATAGGCTGCTGGACAGCTTGTTCGTCTTCCACAAAGCGATAAACCCTGCTCGTTCAGCGTCGCACGACAAAGCGCCATTATGGAGAGCGCAAGACGAGAATACGCTTGCGGGTAGCGAAGAGGAGTATCCTCTGAATGTCAGCATCGTGGAGCGCGAGGACGGAACGGCGGAAGTGTTGGCCAACTCAAACGTTCTCGACCCGCGCAAAGTAGTGGACCAAATCGCTTCGTGCGCCCGGATGATCCTGCTCCAGCCTCATTGCCGCGCAGTCACTACACTCAGAGGCCTCGAGAAGACGCCGATAGGGCCAGTTGCCGCCACCTTTAGCATAGACGGAGAAGTTGCGACCCGCCCTCTGTCGCCTGAAGAATCGACGCTCAAACAAGCCGTCGAAAAGGTGCTCAATCTGAGCGTGGAGCAGTCGAGCGCTCAGCTTGCCAGCGCGAGTGCGGACGTTCTAGCTGCTGGCATCGATTCCATCAATGCTATCAAATTGGCTCGCCTCTGTCGAGCCAATGGACTCGTGCACGTGTCCGTACCCGTGATTCTACGCGGACAGACTTTGGCAGAGATCATTGCGCTCAGTAACGCCTCGCAAGCACCGCGCGCTACTATCCTTGCCAAGCAGCCGACACCTCTCGATTCGTTGCAGCGCAAGGCCATCGCTAGACTGCCCCTGCCAGAGGCAGACGTAGAAGCGGTTCTGCCGTGTTTGCCGGGGCAAATACATCATCTCGAGGCTTGGTTGGCGACGGGCCGCCGCTTCTACGAAGCTCCATGGGTGTTTGATTGTTCTTTAAAAATCCGACCAGACCAATTGGCGAGCGCGTTGGAGCGTCTTCGTGCCAATTACACGACGCTACGCACCTGCTTTGTTGGCGTCGGTGGCACCGCTCAGCAAGTGATCTTGAAAGCCGGTCGAGCTCCCTCGGTACTGCGCGTCGTGTCGACGAGCGACGACGATAGAGACCGCTTCCTTGCGCAAGAAGTGTTGCGCTGCAACAGCATGTCTTTCGACTTGCGCTCCCCACCTGTTCAGGTCGTCCTCCTTCAAAGCGAGACCAAGTCATTGCTAATCTTGAAAATGCATCACGCACTTTATGGTAAGCTAGCATGCGGTGAATCTAGCACAAAAAAGGCATCACTGACGTAGTCCACCGCAACCCCACAGATGCTTGGTGTGTTTCAAGGATGTTTGCAGACTTGCAAGCGCTGTACAATCGGCCTTCGATCGAGTCACGCGCACCTTTTACTCAATACGTGGATAAGCTTTGCGATACGCGAGATACTCGCATTCAACAGCAGCAATGTTTCTGGGACAGCGATCTGGCAGCAGCACAAGCGACGATCCTGCCGACTTCGCAAGCCGCCTGCCTTGAGAAGACCGCGCGAGGCCCAAATTTGTTGGTCCGAGTGCCCGACGCGGTACACGATGTGGCGAACCTGGAAGCGCAATGCGTTAAAGCAGGGACCTCTCTACGCTACGTTGTGATGCACTCGCTCGCGCGGGTCCTCGGTGAAATTTGCAGCGTGTCGGTGCCGACGTTCGGATTCTACACCGCAGCCCGCTCCGCAGAAGAGGACTTGGACCGAGTAGCCGGCCCCCTCTTGAATGTCTTGCCTGTCGCCATCGACACCTCTATCAGCGTTCGCAATAGTCTACAGCAAGTGCATCGCTCCTTGACAGCACGTCGCAGCCACGAGCAGTCTTCCTTGTCCGACGTGCTCGATCGAAAGGGGTTGACTCAACCTCTCTTCAACTGCTGGCTCAATCTGCTCTGGCACGATCAAGGCGACGAAGGCACTCCAGGCATCCAGGCCACTACTTCCGACACCGAAGCTCTTGTCCTCACGCACAAGAAGCTGCCCGAGGCGGCGGCGTATTTCGACGACAAGAGGGTCATGAAGGCTGTGCAGTCAAGCGAGACGTCACTGGGCTCACATTTGACCTCGCGGCACCGATCTCCCCACAATCTGTACGTCGACGTCCGCCGCACGGCTTCCAACACGCTTGGCTTTGGCGTTCGCCTTGACCTCGCTTTGATGGACTCCGATTCGGCGGTAGGGCTCATGCGGGAGGTTGCAGCACATGTATCACGCACGGTCCAAGAGGAGCTGCACACTTAGACATCATCGAACTTTGACGTGTGTGCCCAGATCTCGGACACCAAATTCATGCTTTTGCTGATTTTTGCGAGAGAGGAACTATAGGTCACCAGGTTGGCTTCGCCCGCGAGGCCGCTTAGTCTTCCGACTGTGGCATATGATTGGTGTGCTTTAAAGGCGCTCGGGCTTGGAAGCGGTGAGAATGGGAAGCGTAGCAGCATGAAGGACATGCCTGTCAAGTTCCAAGTTGAGGGTCAGGGTCAGGTTTGCTGTGGAGCAGCCTCCTAGCGTCTACTGGTATGTGTCGAGAATTTCGCGGCACAAATTAGCGGACATCCTGAAAAGAAATGCGTCAGACAGTCATCCGAGCTTACTTTGAAGAGCACCTCAAGACTGTGCAGTCGGATTTTGTGCCATACAGATGTGCACACGCAATGAGCATGAAGCAGGTCAGCGTTGAAATGGTAGAAAGTCAGGGCGTGTTGATGAGGCAGGGTGTGACTTGGCCACTAAATCAGCAGCAAGGAAGTGTATGAATGGACGGAGGTTGGTTAACAAGACGAGAGGGCACGATGAAGTTCCACTGAGGATCAAGCAAGGAATTGGTCAAACAGTGAACTGTTAGTGCATCGAAGTGAGCGAAAACGATGGGCTAGCAATGCACAGCAAGGACTCGTTGAAGGACAGACGTTAGTGCAAGCTAATGAGAGTGGGTTACAGACAAGCATTGAAGTTGGTGGGCAAGGTGGCAAAAGCGAGCTTTGGCAGCAATCGCAAGGATGGCTCAAGTAAGTAAGAATGCAGTACAGTCAGAGCATGCAGAGTTGGTGCAAGTAAACAAGAGGATTCAAGAGTTAGGGTCACAAGGGTATCCCCAAACAGGGTTTTGGACAGGACTTATACCAGCGTGTAGAGGCTATTGAGGGGCATGTGTGGTGAAAATTTTTATGGGTTAGGGTTAGGGTTACAAGGGGGTCCCCAATAGGGTTTTTGGAGTTTGTGTTATAGGCATTCAGAGGGGCCTGAGGGAAGCCAGCTGGTGAAGCAGCACCCAAAACCCTAGAGATTTGATGGCGTGAGGTCCATCTAACCTCAAGATGGTCTGGTTAGAGTGCCTAACTTGGGCATCTCTGAGAAAACTGTTTGTTCTTTGTTACAGTGACCTACTTGAGGCTGTGGCATGAGACTTTCTGGAATTGGATTGCACAAAAGTCTTTCAGGGAGGGCACAAAGTGCTTCTAAGTTCGGCTTGATACCTTAAGTTCAGTCATCTTCAGCATACTTGACACAAGTTGAGGATCAAGTTGAGGGAAGATGACCTGATGTTGGCTCGTGTTTCCTGAACTTGACACAACTTCTGAGGGGTACTGAGGAGCAAAGGGGGGACCCTTTGGATTTGAGAACAAGTGGCAGGCAGTGTGTCTGATAGGGCATCTTCAAAGAAGTTGAGCTCAACTTCACCTACAGAAGAGGGAAGATGCAGTAAGTTGAAGGAAGATGAACAGACATAGGTTCATGTTGTCAGAACTTGGGTTAGGGTTAGGGTTAGGGTTAGGGTTAGGGT